TGTTACTGCTATATGATTCAAAAGCTTTCTGCTGACCCACAGTATGCTATGATAGTTCCTGTTTTTGATGGCATTAGTGCCCATTCACATGACAAAATGCTGTTAAAGAAAATGAATTATGAGATTTTTTCTCAATTTCTCTCAACCTTGGTTTAATATGATACACTTCAAAATCAGATTACATTAGGCCAAGAGTCCCCATAGAATTAAACATCCAACTTCCACTGAAAACAACGTAAAGCAGGCCTCTAAAACTGTGACTGCTTTGAAAACAGTTATAACCTTTATCTAGATGACAATAAAAAAAAAAAAAACAGTGAAGTTGCTGACTCTTCCCAAACCAAACTCTCTTTTGAGCACAGTGCTGGAGACATTAAAGCAAAGGTTTATATCTAGAGGTCAGAACTTCACAGTTCCCACAGTTTCTCAAATCGCTGTTCTATTACAATGTCATTTGAAAAAATAAAGTCTTGTTCAGAACTGTTGTTTTAAGTCATAAAATCATAGAATCATACCCTTAATGACTTAAACTTTCAACTATATATTTTAATAGGAATAGCAGTTCACTGATTTATGGATTTAAATGATAGTCTTCCTTCAAATTTTACGCAGAGAATACAACTCTAACCAGATCTCCACTTGTAAATGAACAGAATCCCAACACACTCCATATACATTTATACACAATTTAGTAGTTAAGTTTATTTATAATTCAGTGTAGTACAGAAAGTAGAATTTTCAGGTATATAATTAAAGAATATACTACAAACTGACAATATCTACTACTACTGAAAACTATATTTCTCACTGAAGAAAGATTCCATTAAACGGTTGAAGTTAAATAAAAACAGAGAAAAAATTGAAAAACACTTCCTATGCTTAGTAAAATCAAGTTGCATTCATATAAGTTTTCCAAATGGACATTACCCTGAAATTTTCAGATAAACATAGAATTCTCTGCAAGAACTGGCAAGTTTCTAAAATTAATATTGCATAGTTGCTATAACCAAACTGTTGGCTTAATAATTAAGGAATATAAAACAAGCTATGTTATTCAGTTTTGGAGTTGCAGCATTCATAAAACGCATAATTTGATATATTGCAGCCTGCATACATGTTGGTGGATGGTAACTCTGAATCAATTACAACAAAATCTTCAACTCTGCAAATGCTGATACGTTCATATTAAAAGATACGGGTAAAAAGAATAAAAGAAGAGTAAAATTGCTTTTAACATAACCTATTCCAACACCTCAGCACTCAATTCAAGTCACTCACTAAGAAAAGATTCATACATAGAAATGTATGAGTAGCCTGTAACATGACTGTTCTCTCTGCGTCTGAGTTTTACTAAACAGGCACGCTCTTTGCCGAGTTAAGAACTGGATGAATGGTTGGGCCCAGAGAGTGGTGGTGAATGGAGTGAAATCTAGCTGGCAACTGGTCACCAGTGGTCAGTGTTGTGGCCCATCCTCTTTAACATCTTTACTGACATTTTGGACAAGGGAATTGAGTGCAGCCTCAGTAAAATTGCAGACAACACCAAGTTGGGGGGAAGTATCGATCTGCCAGAGGGTAGGAAGGCCCTCCAGAGGGACCTGGACAGGTTGGATCAATGGGCAGAAGCCAATGGGATGAGGTTCAACGTGGCTAAGTGCAGGGTCCTGCACTTTGGTCACAACAGCCCCATGCAACACCACAGGCTTGGGGCAGAGTGGCTGGAAAGCTGTGCAGAGGAAAAGGATCTGGGGATATTGGTCAATGTTCGCCTGAACATGAGCCAGCAGCGTGCCCAGGCGGCCAAGAAGGCCAATGGCACCTTGGCTTGCATCAACAATAGCATAGCCAGCAGGACCAGGGAGGTGATCGTCCCCAGTACTCTGCTCTGGTGAGGCCACACCTCGAGTACTGTGTTCAGCTTTAGGCCCCTCACTACAAGGACATTGAGGCCCTGAAGCATGTCCAGAGAAGGGCTACAAAGCTGGTAAAAGGTCTGGAACACAAGTCCTATGAGGAGCGGCTGAGGGAACTGATGTTGTTTAGTTTGGGGAAGAGGAGGCTCAGGGGAGACCTTATTGCTTTCTACTACTACCTGAAAGGAAGTTGTGGGGAGAGGGGAGTCAGCCTCTTCTCACAGATAACCAGCGATAGGGGTAGAGGGAATGGCCTCAAGTTGCTCCAGGGGAGGTTTAGGTTGGAAATTAGGAGACATTCTTTTCCCTCAGAAAGCGTAGTCAGGCATTGGAACGGATTGCCTAGGGAGGTGATGGAGTCACCATCCCTGGGGGTGTTTAAGGAAAGGTTGGACATTGTACTTAGGGACATGGTTTAGTGGGTGATATTGGTGGTAGATGGATGGTTGGACCAGATGATCTCGGAGGTCTTTTCCAACCTTAATGACTCTATGATTCTAAAAAGACACTTAAGTCAAACCTACTACACAAGGAATCGCACAGACTGTATTGTCATGAATACATAAAGAAAGATAAATAGAGCTAACTGAGCTAAAGTCTCCTATGTATTTCAAATCAGCAGGCTTACAGGTATTCATCCTTACCTATCATGAATACAAGTCTTTATACAGAACAGTGTATGGGCCTCTAAGTTCAGTATCTTACCAAATCAAGTAAGCAAATATTTGGTCCTTATCCTAATACTGAACCAAGCCGTACCACAGAAAATAAAGACAGATGGGTGACACAATCAACTCACCTCCTGCAGTGGCTTTGTACTTGACTTGTGTGTTCTTTTCCATTCTAACCTATGCCTGTTCTAGAGGTACAGCAATAACAAATTATGTTGCTGAAGTCTTCAAACAGATGAAAAAATTCATCAACTTTGAGCAGTTGCAAACCTGACTTACAATCAGTGAAGCAACATAAAATACATTTTTTGTAGCCCTAAATTTAGCCTCAATAACCTAAAATATTTACTTTAAGATCTTACTGTTTTGTTCTGGCAGTATCCTGAAATGACTGTAAACAAAAACAAGCCAAGTCACTAAGCCATAATATTAGCTATGGGAACATACAGCAAAATAAAAGTCATTCAGTTGTGTGGAAAAAAAAAAAAAGTCCTGAACTCACCTGCAAATAGGGCAGACATTGCTGGCTTGCCTATACCAACAAAACAATTCACTTGCTGATCCCAGATGCATTTGAACAGATACTCAATTTGTTTCTTATTTGAGGCTAACATATTTTCTGGGCTAGCTCTAGAAATATCACATCTATTGTTGATGCTTATTATTAACACATTATTTTGACATTTTAAGAAAAATAGCCAATACTAGTCACACTACAGAGATTGTAAGTCCTGCAATCTACTATCTGTAACTTGGTCTGGGAAATGCAAATGGGGGGCCCACAGGGACAACAGCAGTCTTACTTCACAGTAATGGAAATTCAACTGCAAGTCTAACCTGTTAATATTACCTCAAATGGATACCAATAAAGTGTTTAAAGTTTAAGATATCTTCATCGTCTATAATTGTTTTAAAGCAATACATTATATTAATCATTAATTTTTATGACTGGTTTCAATAAAGAATTACAGTTTTGTTATCTTAACTATTTCAGTTTTAAGATAACTGTCTACTAGACAAACCTGAAATTACCATTGGGATTCACATTTGAAATAGTCTTATTAAGGTTAGATACATTACAAAATTTACATCTTAAGTGAATTTGTTTATAACTCCTGCAGTACTCAATCTTATTGCGATCAAACCGCTTTTCAGGACAAATGTGATCCTTAAGTTATATCCACCTTAAGTTATATCCAGCATATGGGGTTCTTTTTTGTTTGTTTGTTTTTAAGTAACTACAAAGAATTTTACAACAGCTACATTGAAGCTATTCACAAGTCTATGAAGAACAGAGAAGTGAAAAAGGGCCCATTTCAGATTGAGATTGCTGAGAAAACACTGGACAAAATCAAAAGCAGACAACAATTTCATCTTTGGTGGAAAAGACTAGAAATTAAGTTTACAGAGTAGCAGATACCATGCAATACTGCAGCTGCTAAACTCATCTTCACTGGTCGTAATCTCACCTATCTGGCAGGTGGAGAGCAGACCAATGAAACTTACGTCTGGAACACTTATAAGCCAAATATTGGTATAAAAATATTTGAATCTTGAACTGCCCCAAGAATAAAAACTTGAAAGAAATACCAGCATTTACTGCACCTTTTCTGTTTTGTAGCCCCCTAAACAAATTAAGTCTTGGTCAATAGTCACATGGAAAGCCTCTCCAAAGAAAACATAAGCGTTGCAGGAAATAGCATCAATGATTCAGTAGGTGCCACTGTTTCTCTTGAGCCAAAGGCATAACTGGATACTAACTTCCATAAAAACGCAGAACAAAAACCCTAACAATTCAGTTATCAGACCCTAAAAACCAAACAGAGAAGAAGCTGTGCTATTTGTAGCGGAAGTTATATACAGTCTGAATACATGGCTTTTCTAAAACTGAGATGTTTGCCATAGCCTACTCGCTGTTTCTAGTCAGTTTTAAATTTTAAAAAATATGTTGTCACTATATGCAATCATATACATGACATTAGTATGTTTTCTACAGTTGCACTAGTTAGCTAACAAACCTCCTACTGTCAAACTGAGTCAGCTCAGCAGGGCAACTCAGAATTTAGAAAAGAAGCTACGTCCACTTCCCAGGGCCAGCTCTCAGCATCGCAACAGAAAGAAGAGGAGTCGTGGTGGAAACAAAGCAGCAGGTTTCTTCACCACTCCCACTAGCCTCAGTTAGCAGCACACTCCACAAGGCCGGGCCAGCCCCGGTACTCACCCAATAGAGCCGATAAAAACAGTTCGGATAAGCTGGAGCTGTTTTGTCATTGCGAAGGGCCCTCTCCACCCTACAATGCGATAAGTGGAAACCGCAGGCGAAGGCTCTTACCCCGGGCAGGGCAGGGCAGGACTGCACGCCGCCGCCCCTCTCTTCCGCCGCCCCTGCCCCCCCCGCCGCCCCTAAGCCTCTCACCTGCTGGATGTTGCTGGTCTCGGGCACAGCAAACTCCTTCTTCTCCTTGGGGGTCTTCACTGTCACTTTGATGATCCGCGGCTCAGCAGCAGTGGAACCCTGAGCAGAGGACTCAGGAGAAGTATGGGCCCCCACAGGGCTCTCCGCGCTCTCCGACATGACGGGTGGGGCCTAACTCGCTCAACCACGCACTTCCAAACGAATCCTACGCGCCACAGCCTCACTCCCAAAGCGGCGACCAAAAACAACTCAGCTCAGTCGTGGCGCGCAGTGATGACGCTCCAAATCAGGGAAGTTACTAGAAAGGGGAGTTGTCTCCCCAGGCGTAGACTTACCCTCCGCGCGCTTGCGCGCCAAAGGTGGTAGTTTGAAGATTTATTAAATCTTAAAAAGACATTTCTAAGTAGTTCCTTAAGTTTGCTTGGAAGATTAAATTTATTTTCTGATATAGATAAATTATTTCAGTACATTGAAATTCTAAGTAGATATATTAAAAATATTATTAATGTGTTGATGTCATACATATAATTATATTATTGCTTGCATATACTATAATGCACAATGATTTTGTATGAAATAACAAAGTCATGTCGTGTCCTTGTATGGCTTTCATCTTAAAAAAAAAAAAAAAAAAAAAGAGGGAGAAAAACTATATACAGCTTCAGAACCTATATAAAGACAGATCATAAACTGCCTTTTGCTTCTCATACTGCCCTGCCGGTGAGGAGGCTGGGGGTGTACAAGGAGCTGGGAGGGGGCAGAACCAGGACAGCTGACTCAAGCTGGCCAAAGGGATGTTTCATACCATGTGACATCATGCTCAACCATAAAACTGAGAGAGGTTGGCTGGGGTGGCTGCCACTGATAGGGGTCTGGCTGGGTTTCAATTGGCTGGTGGTGAGCAATTGCATTGTGCATCATTTAGTGTTTTTTGTTTGTTTGTTTTTTCTTCCCTCACTTTCTTTCTTGTTAAACTGTCTTTATCTCACCCCACAAGTTCTCACACTTTTACCTTTTTTAATTCTTTCCCCTATCCCACTAAGGCGGGGAGAAGTGAGTGAGCAAGCGTCTGTGTGGTGCTTAGCTGCTTGCTAGGTTTCTTCCTTATTCTCTTCTGTTTCTTTCTTTCCTACTTCTGTGTTCTCTGATGACTGCACAGGTAACTAATAGGGATTTGCTATTCCATTTTAAGTCAGGCAGCTCCTATTTGTTCTCTGTAATGCTCCCTTTAACAACTATTTCAATATAAATAAGATCTCAGGATTTATTACTACATTCAGTGCTGTACAAATTGTGCACTTTCATGGCCATATCACATTTACTGACAGTATATACAGGGCAAAAAAATTTGAATTTTGTTGCAGCACAAGATTAACTATTTACTACTGAGCATGCTCTGAGGCAGGACATGGCATTTTTCAGAGCTAAAAAGTAGAAAAGATCTTTTTACATGGTAGTTGCATGTGCTAGCTTCTGCATTTTGCAACTAAAGCTCATGTATATACACACAATGAAAATAAAAATATACAGATGTGCTATAAAGGGAAAAGAAATAATGACTATTGACATTGGTTAGATTCAGATTCAGCCACAGTAAAATGGCTTTGCGTGAGCTGCTGCATTTTTAGATTTGGTTTCTTGAAGCTTTCACCAGTTGCATACTACTACGTTTGCATCAGAATCATAGAATGGCTTGGGTTGGAAAGGACCTTAAAGACCATATAGTTCCAACCCCCAATCTTGATAGTCAGCAGAACAGGGACCAGGACAGGAACAGGGACATTGATTGCCTCATGAAGATAGGTTCGGCCAAACTCAGCAAACCGCTCAAAGAAGCTCGTATAGAAAGTCACTGGAAATAGGCGCCGTGACTTGCGAAAAATGGACTCCACAATCAGTAAGATTGTAAAGTAGGTATGTTTATTTATCACTGGGAAGCACCACGGGGGGGTAGTCCCTCCAAAGTCGTGCGCACCTGATGTGGCAACTTGCTTTGGTTATATGCAGCAAAGAGTTACATATGCATGAAGTTTCACAATATGCCTATACATATTCATAACCTGTCCCCGCTTCATATTAAAATTAGTTCCAAGGAGTCATTTCCATAAACTCCTCCCATCTGCGCTTGTGCAGTGTCTCCTGGTGGTGGTCGTCAGGGGTCGTGGGGATGAAGATTGATGACTCTTCCTTGTCACTGCTAGTTGACCTCTTGTCTCTGCACAGACTCCTTGGCTCTTGTCCATCCGCAGGACCAGTTTCTGCCAGTTTGAGATAGGCTCACACTCTTATCAAGAGACTGACCTTGGTAAAGGGACCCAAGGCTTCTTGCTTTAATTAATTTGCACCATCCTAGTTTCATGCTGTCAGCACTCTATCTCTACTTGATAAGATTCCCTTAACTCCCTCTCTCAGTTCCCCCTTTTCTAAAAGTTAGTAAATTCTTTTCTAAAAGGTTAGTGAATTATTGTATTCTCCTAACTCACTCTCTCAACCAGAGCTGGAAAGAAGCTCAAGCTGAGAGAAGCAGACCCACGCACACAACTGCCCCTCGCTGGCCGAAGGTAAGCAGTTGCGCATTATGGGGAATCATACGTCCTTAGAAACAAAGACTGTCCTGGTAACCTTACAGCTTATTCCCTTTATTAACAATCAGACAGTTTATGATCCTGACCAAATTGAGGTCCAGGTGTGGGACTCTGCTACTAAAAACAATAAGGTTGCAGTGGGATTGCTCGGCACCTGGCGAGCAGTCTCTGAGGCCTTAAAGAGCCATGTGGGACCACAATCAGAAACGTGTGGTTTTGCCAGATAGTGAGGGAGCTGTGGGCTCATCCACTGATCCTTCTGCTACACCATCGCCCCCCCCCGCCGCTACTGCCATTGCAGGCCTTTGATGTTACGCCCCCTGGTAACCTGGACGTGCCTTTTGATCCAGGCCTTATTGGCCTTGAAAAGGAGATGGATATGTTTCCCTTTGATCCGGGAGGAATAGGATACATAGGGCTGAAGGCCGAGTTGCTTAACAACTTAAAGCGAGACGTATTGTTACCACGACTAGCCCTGGAACTCTCTGGTGTTTGTAATCAAGAAAAGGAATGGGAAATGGAGACTGTTATATGATCTGAGAAAAACTAATGAAGTCATGGAAGATATGGGAGCACTTCAACTGGGATTACCAACTCCAACTATGCTCCCCCAGTCACAGACATTAATAGTAATAGACTTAAAGATTGTTTGTTAAACACTTGCCAGAATTTGGAAAACTTTGCCATGTTTACGTTTCAATTGATACCTTTTCTGATTGTACATATGTATAGGCGTACTTGGGTTTCTTATGAATATGTAAAAGCAATGTTCTATATATTTAGGAAGTTTGATGGTAGTGTGCATGTTGGTAGAGCATAGGCTTCCTGCACACCCAGCACTGTTTACTTGCCTTTTATAAATATTACTAAATTCAGATTGAGTTGTATCTCTTCATTTATAACAGTGGTATGAGAGGTTGAAAAGTCCTTGACTTATGTAAGCACTGCTCAGAAACAACTAAAGCATTGGTGTGTTATCAGCTTTATTCTCATCCTAAAGCCAAAACACAGCACCATACTACCTGCTATGAAGAAAATTAACTCTATCCCAGTTGTCCTGGTTTCGGTTAGCACAGAATTAATTTTCTTCCTAGTAGCTGGTGGAATGCTGTGTTTTGGCTTAGGATGAGAAGAGTGCTGATAACACCCCGATGCTTTAATTGTTGCAGAGCAGTGCTTATACTAAGCCAAGGACATCTCAGCCTTTTGCTCTGTCCTGCCAACGGGCAGGCTGGGGGTGCAGTAAGAGCTAGGAGGGGACAGACCCAGGACAGGTGACCCAAACTAGCCAAAGGGGTATTCCATACCATCTGACGTCATGCTAAACAATATATAGGGGTGGAGAACACCAACCTGATGGATGAAGGGAATGCAATGGATATTGTCTTCCTGGACCTCAGGAAGGCCTTTGATACTGTCCCCCATAAGATCTTCATAGAGAACCTGTTGATAGATGGGATTGATTTGCGGAAATCAGACTCTGTAACCTTAGAATAGTTATAAAGCAGGTATGTTTATTTGGCGCTGTGCGCACATGCCAGGCACAAGGGGGATAGCTCCACCTAACTTGCACACCAACGGTTACTATCAGTGTGCTTATATTAGTGGGACAAGTACATATTCATTTCATTTCCCATAAGCCTTTTGTATATTCATCAGGTCTCTGAAGAATCATTAACATAGGTTCCCATCTCTATTCGTATCCGTACTGGAGTCCTCCGGTGGTTGTCTGGCATACTTTGGTGGTCTTTTCTTGAAGGACAGAAGTCTTCCTTGCTGCTAATCTTCTGGCCTTTTGTGGTATTTTACTCAGGTGGGCAGCCGAGCTCCACCACAACCGCTCTCTCACTCCCCCTCTCCTCAAAGAGGAAGGGGGAGAAAATATAACACAGAGAACTCAAATTTTGAGATGAGAAAGGTTTAATTAAAAGGAAAGGGAATGGGGAGGAAAAACAGAAACAAAAGAAACAATCAGTCCGCACGGAAGCACAGAGAGAGGAAAAATTATTCTCTACTTCCCATCAGTGAGCGGTGTTTGGCCACGTCCTGGGAAGCAGGGCCTCAAACACGTAGTGGTTGTTCAGGAGGAACATCCCCCTCCCCCACGAGAGCCCCCCCTTTTATTGCTGAGTGTGACATCAGGTCTTATGGAATATCCCTTTGGTTGGTTTAGGTCAGCTGCCCCGGCAATGTCCCCTCCCCATCACTTGCCCACCCCCAGCCTGCTGGCTCTTGGGGGCTTGGAAGGAGTCCTGATGCTGTGCCAGCACTATGCAGCAATAGACACTGGAGTGATATCAGTGCTGTTCCTGACTCACGGAAAGCTGACTCCACAATCAGTAAGATTGTAAAGTAGGTATGTTTATTCAGCGCTGGGCAGCACAGGGGGTAGTCCCACTGAAGTCGTGCACACCTAACGTGGCAACTTGCTTTGGTTATATCCAGTAAAGAGGTACATATGCATGAAGTTTCCCAATACACCTATACATATGCATAACCCGTCCCCGCTTAGTATTAAAATTAGCTACAAGAAGTAATTTCCATAAATTCCTCTTGTCTGCTCTTGCGCGGTTCCTTGTGCTGGTGGGCTCTGAGGGTCGTGAGGATGAAGTAAGATGTCTTCATCAGGGCTGAACTTTTCACCTCATCTCTGCGTATGCTCTCTGAGGCCTTGGTCACAATCACATTATTATTATTAGTAGTA